TTGTGAAAGGAATGTTCATCTTTTAACACTCTGCAGATGATTTGAAGAGCTAATTGTGCACCCTTCAAAACTAGTCACTTAACTAAGGACACTCAAATCTAATAATTCCTCGATGTCTTACGAATGCGAAAAGCACTGTGGATGGCCATCCATTCAAAGCCCAGGCTTGTGGGATTCAATGGTTTTCCTTCTTACTTCTTGCTTTGGGAATTTCATGGAGACGCTGCGGGACAGAGCAGGGTTTCCTAGGCTTCATCTTCCTGGGGTTGATCTCCAGGTATTTTCTCCTTCAGGGCCACGGGGTGGGTTTGAACCACCAACCTATCACTTCGGGGAAAAAAAAAAAAAGCAAATGACTCCCAAATAACAATAAACCAACAGCAAAAAGAATTTGTGCATGCTTCCTTCGTTGATGTCGGTATTTGGGATGTTAGACCATGCCTGGTAGGTTTCACCATTGTGATTGCTGTCACAGTCTTCGTGTTTTATAGTTTTTCACTTAGTATTCTGAGCCGTACTGTTTACTTCAAACAAGCTCCCTAGCTTTCCTGCTTAGGAGGCGTAAGGCACTGGGGAGGCACTGGTTTGGGTGTCCACACACATGCTGTGAGGTGGAGGGGGTTAGAAGGCGAATCTCCTTCAGTCCTTTTTCCAGAAGCCAAATAATCCCGTTTATTTGACCTTTTCTTCATGGAAGTAGTAAACATAGGATGTTAGTATTTTTAACAAATTAAATGAAAATAAGGAGCGAAAACGAGATATTCTTAAACTAGGAGTGGTGGAGAGTGTCTAGACCTCTGTATTCGGTATAATTGGGGGTTTATTCTTTTTCTCCTCAGCTCTTGTGAGACAATAAACTCTTTATTTCAGAAGCCTCAGGGACAGTAATGTCTGAGAGCATGAGGACGTAAATATAGGTGTGACTAAACACAAGCAGCCACTGGATGCGCTCAGCCAAAAGAACTTCTCAGCCGTTTAGAGAAAGCTACAATTTTTGAAACGTATTTTGTGTACTCCCTTAAACATGGTAAGTACTAATGGAAGTGTTAGTTGGAGGCTGGTAAATGTGAGTAAAAAGGAGTCCTGGTGCTTGGATGCGAAGTGATAGGTTGGTGGTTCAAACCCACCCCGTGGCCCTGAAGGAGAAAATACCTGGAGATCAACCCCAGGAAGATGAAGCCTAGGAAACCCTGCTCTGTCCCGCAGCGTCTCCATGAATTGGCATTGGCATTAGCATGGTGGTGCAAAGCAACAGCTGTGAACAGAACATGAGATTTTACATGGGTTACCACAAATGGTTTCCGTTTTAAAAACATATTTAGGCTTTTAAAATATAAAATCAGCCCAAGTGATGCAGCCATTGCAGTCATGAACATGCAGAACATTCCACTGTGGGAATAGTGCACATCACTATTCTAATAGGAGACGGGGATCTGTAAGATTCAGCATTGGCTAGTCCAGTTCCCCGAGGAAATTGTAAAAGCTAGCCTCACTGGCTTGCAATGAGAAAAGACATACTTTGAAATGTCTGAAGAATCGTCGGTACCTCGGCAGACAGTGTGCTAAGGACATGTGCCACAGGGGTTTGAATCTCGGTGGTTGCTTGTGGTGGAGGTAGCTCCGGCTCACGGTACATTACATACAACAGAACGACGCATTGCTAGCTTTCCCGTGTCCGCTTCCCGACCATGGGTTGAAACCACTGTGTGTGTTGGGTGCCCTGGGAGCCTAGTAAGGAGCCCTGGCCGCATAGTCCTTAACGTGTTGGGCGGCTAATTGAAAGGGCAGCGGTACTTGGAAGCCACAAGTGGGTCCTCAAGGGAAAGATGAGGCTTTCTACTCCCATAAAGCGTTCCCGTCTCAGGAACCCGCAGTGATCATTCCACACTTTCCTATAGGCCCACCTTGAGTCAGCAGTGCGGGTAGCCTAGTAGGTTATGGGTTGGGCTGCTAACCGTGAGGCCAGCAGTTGGAAACCACCAGCTGCCCTCTGGGAGGAATATGAGGTTTTCTACTCCCGTAAAGAGTTATGGGTCCTTGCATGTCTCTCTGGACAAGATAGGCGGGATGAATGATCCAGAGGAGAGAACAATGGGACCAATGGTTACCGGGAGTGGGGGGGAGACACGGGAGAGGGAGAGATGGGGGGAAAAGGAAGGGGATGCCAACAAACCCAGGGACAAGGGAAGACTAAGTGATCTAAAATTGATGGCGAGGAGGCCATAGGATGCTTGGGAAGGCTGATCAAGGGCAATGTAGCTGAGAGGAATTACCAGAACCCCATTGAAGGCCCAACGTGATAGTGGGATGGGAGGAAATAGAGGAAAGAACTAGGAGGCAAAGGACATTTATAGAGGTCTAAATACAGGCATGTATATATATGTACGAATGTTTACCATATATACTTGAGTCTAAGCCAATCCGACTATCAGGTGCGCGAGGCACCTAATTTTACCACAAAAACTGCATTAAAAATGTGCTGAAAAACTTGGCTTATACACGAGTATATATGGTATATACAATGACGGGAATAGATCTAGGTACATATAATTATTTATAAAGCATTATGGTAGTGGATGGACATTGGGCCTCCCTCAATGCAAAAACAATTTGTTTTATTAACACGGTGCTCTGTGATGTTTACGTTCCCTGACATTATTGCTGAAGACAAAGTGGGTGAATATGCAAATGTGGTGAGGAAGGCTGATGGTGCAGCCGGTTATCAAAAGACAGCCTCTGGGATCTTAAAGGCTTGAAGATAAACAAGCGGCCATCTAGCTGAGAAGCAATAAAGCCCACATGGAAGAAGCACACCAGCCCCTGTGAACATGAGGTGTTGATGGGATCAGGTATCAGGCATCAAAGGCCCAGAACAAAACAAACAAACAAAAATCATATCAATGGGAATGGGGGTGGGGGGGTGGACAGAGTGGAGACCCAAAGCCCATCAGTAGTCAATTGGACATCCCCTGTCAGAAGGGCCACAAGGAAGAGAAGAGCCAGTCAGGGTGCAGTGTAGCATCGACGAAACATTCAACCTTCCTCTAGTTTTTTAATGGGTCCCTCCAATCTCCCACTACCATGACCTCAATTCTATGTCACAAATCTGACTAGACCAGAACATGTACACTGGTACAGATAAGAGCTCGCAACACAGTAATCCAGGACAGATAAACCCCTCAGGACCCATAAGGGGAGCAGCCATATTAGGAGAGTAAGGGGGAGAAAGGAGTGAAGGGGAACTGATCACAAAGATCAACTCATGGCCCCCATCCAGGGGGACGGACAGCAGAAAAGTGGGTGGAATGAGACAGAAGTCGGTGTAAAATATATTTTAAAAAAAAGAATAATTGATGAATTATCAAGGGGGCATGGGGAAAGGAAGGTGGGGAGAGAGGGGGCAAAATGAGGAGCAGATGCCAGGAGCTCAAGTAGAAAGAAACTGTTTTCAAAAAGGTGTGAGCTACATAGGTACAGATGTGTTTGACAAAATGGATATATGTATGGGTTGTGATAAGAGCTGTGAAGAGCCTCCAGTAAAATAAAATTAAGATTTAAAAGAAAAAGTTACAGTCCCTGAAACCCACAGGGACAGTTGTACCCTGCCCTACAAGGTCGCTGTGAGTCAGTGTTGCACCGAGTCTCAAGTTTTTGCTTCAAACTTCCAGGGCTCATTTCCTAGCACCGTCACGGGTCCCCTTGTTTTGTGATCCATGAGGGTCTTTATAGGCTAATGTTCAGAAGGAGCTCCCTGGGCCTTTCTCCCTAATTTTCATCTGGAGGCTCTGCTACGACCTGCCTATCTTGGGAGATCCTCCTGGTATTTGAAAAATCTGTGGTTCAACTTGCAGGGTCATCGCAGCGTGTAAGCCACCACAGTATGACCAACTGTTGGACAGATGGTGCTTTTGATCTTGACGCATAGCCTATCGTATAAGTACCTTCGCAATTACTTATATACTAGACGTCAGGCAGTGTAACATTACACAAGCATATCCATGTGCTTTGTTTTATGAACTAGAATGCAAACTTCCTATGGAGAGGGCTAGCTGTTGGTGATTCTGTATGTTTACCTCCTCTGTAGGGCAATCCAAGCTCAAAAGGTTCCTTTTGGACATCAAAGCAGATGAGATCACCTTGTTTTCCCCTTAATAGCAGTAATAATCTTAATGATAATAATAACTATGATGGAGCACTTATTGGCCTACCCTGCTAGGTCGTAATACTAAGTCATTTGGCCTCATCTTTGTTGCTGTTAGCTGCCATCCACTCGACCTTCAACTCAAGGGAGCCTCAGCTTCAGAACACAATGCTGCTCAGTCCCACCCCAGCCCCATGCTTGGTGGGGGAATCAGGCCTTTGTGATCCATAGGGAATTCACTGGCTGGTTGTTGAAAGTAGACTGCCCTGGCTTTTCTAGCCTATCTTCGTCTGAAGCATTGCTGAAACCCCTCCAGGGTCATCGCAGCACACGAACTTTTGTAGACACATTGGCCAGGAGTGAAATGTGGGTTTCCAACAGAGAAGGTGAGAACTTGACCCTGGAACCACCATTACCCCTGATCCTATTCTTACAGTCTCGAAAAGTAGGCAGCAGGATGGTTGATGATATCCTCATGACCATCACCATCTGACAAATGAGATCGAGACACAGTAGTGACCCATGCAGTCAGCAGAGGAGCTGGGGTACAAGTCCGGCTCGGGAGTTGGTTTGTGCCTCATTCTGCACAGAGCTGGGTCTGACGTGCCTTCTACCAGCCTTAGAAGCTTCTTGGGCTCAAGGCTCATCCTGACTGGGATTTACACTTCCTTGGCTTTGTTTAATTTTTCTTCATTTTTGTCCTCCCTTCTCTTAGGTGAAGTACAAGAGAGATTTTGAAGAAAGCAAGGGGAGAGGCTTCAGCATAGTGACGGACACCCCGGAACTACAGAGGCTGAAGAGGACTCAGGAACAAATCAGTAACGTAGGTGACTTTACGCAGTGGCGTCATAGCGCAGCCTGTGTTTCTGAATGAGCACGTGAGCCTGGGGACTTGGGAGTGTTCTTATGGCTGCGGTATGCGTGTGGTACTCGGTGCACTGAAACACGTTGCCAGTGTTACCCGGTATGCCAACGTCCTACCTTGGTTTTCATCACAGTTATCTGGAGCCGAAGGCTTCGGTTGTCCGTATGAGGAACACATGTGTGTTCAGACAATGGTACTAAGGGTCTATTATAACCTGCTTGTTCTATTTTGAATGGCTCTCAGCTTTTGAGAATTTCTGTAGTAGAATTTCCTAATTAGTTATAAAAACCTCATGGTTACTTTTGGCTGTAGATAAGCTTGCAAAATGCATATGTAAGATTGGGAATCTTGAAACCATTTATTTGCTAATTATGTTTCTCTTAATACTTTGTTAGATATGTGTTTAAGGGAGGTGTTATACCTGCTTTTAAAAATAAGCATTGTGGACACCCACAAACAGAAGTTCAAAGCATGCTGAAGGTTCAAAAGTATTAGTTCTGTACTTAATCGAAGTAGATAAGCAGCTCCTCCTGATAATGCCAACGTCCTACCTTGGTTTTCATCACAGTTATCTGGAGCCGAAGGCTCCAGTTGTCCGTAGTTTTCTTCCAAAATATAATAAGCATGTCAAAAAGTATTTTCATTACAGGAAAAAAAGACATATATTAGTCACCCAACAGAAAATGGAAATTAATATCAACAGTTATCTGTGTGATAGAAAATTATGAGCAAACAAGTGAAAATAATATTTTTCATGGGATGTGTATTTTGTGTGTTATTTGTACCATCATTAAACATTTTATATCTAGATTTTATAAATAAAGTAGCTTGAATGTCCAGGAAATATTTTATTAACAGATGGTTTTGCCCACTGATATGTCGCTGTCATCATGGTGCATGTAGGTGACAATTGAGATAGGCCAGGTTATAATTTAAGACAAGTAGTATTGGTCAGAAGCTCAATAATGGAATTATTTAATGTATCAATTTCTTAAGGAGGTAAAAATTTGCTTTGCCATACTTTCCCACTTTTTCAAGTGAACATTTTATATTGAGAGGATTTTTTTTCCTTTGAGAAGGGAGGATTGAACTTTAAGGATGTATGACTAAGTCCTCAGTCTTTATAGTAGACCTGCCCAGCAGCCACCGATCATCAATACTGACGCCTGCTCCTCGCCTGCCTGCCTTTTCATTCGCTCCTTCAACCAACAGTGTACATTCACTCTTTCCAGTGACAATGCAGTTTAGCTTTATATGCGATTGACAGTTACATTGAGTAGCATTTCTGCCCTTGGGTTATCTTTGGAGAACTTTTTTTTTTAATTAGAAAAATGCTGCAGAAAGCAAAATTTTATAATAAATCTTCAACTCTATCACAACCATTGATTAACAAACAACAACAAACATAACTACTTAAAGAATCCCACAGGACACCTGACCTAAGGATTGCAGTTGGTTTCAAGGTAAGTAGTTTTACTTATATTCAAATTAAGTCAATATTCATATTTAATATAAAGACTGATAATTTCACCAACCTTTATCATTAGCAGGGATATACATTTTATTCAATCCCAGAGATCATTTGCAGATGCATTCTTAATTACACCAACCCCCCTATAATACAGGTACGTATTTATATTTATTGTTTACCTAGCCATATATGTAAAATACCATTTAGATGGAGTGTGTCATTTAAATGAAACCTTTTCTTTAAAGCAACCGTTTGCATGGTCTTGATGTTAAAAATCATAGCAATCTTAAAAGTAGTTCCTTTAGTCATATTAGTGTTCAAATAGCAGTAAAATCCAGATTTCACATCTTACTCTTAGGGACCTGTACCCAAATAAACCAGAAAACTAAACGCACTGCCACTGAGTCCATTCTAACTCATGGGGATTCTATAGTACGGTGTGAAACCCCTCCATAGAGTTGCATAGGCTGCAAGATTTTTACAGACGCTGTCTGTCTCATCCTTCTCCTTCAGAGTGACTGGTGGGTTTGAACAGCTAACCTTTGGGTTGGCAACCCCACAACCTCACTGCACTACCAGAGCACCTGACCGGAATAGGCCCGGCTGTTAAATATTCTGAGGATGAATCTATTAGTCATTTCTAAGGCTGCAATTTAATGAACAGTTTCCTCCCAGGCTTCCGTATCACTCAGGAATATTTTTCTCTCAGAAACTTAAATTCATCACGTGCTGGTACGTTTTGGTTAGTTTAGTTTTCCATATTGTTTTTACATTCACCCAGACACCAAATTATATTGGCCAAATCCAGACAGGTGTTCTTGACAGTGGCCTGGCCTGTGTCTGTTTGGAGAGGAAGAGGGTGGGAACATACACAGCTTGGAGAGGCAACAGAATCTTCCTGCTGGAGAGGCCAGATTGGAGCTGAGTCTCCTGAAAGCTATGAGGGTCAGGGGACTTGCGAGCATGACATTGGAGCTCCAAGCTCAGTGTGGACCGATGTAGCTGGCCCGACTCAATAAAGGATCTTCATTTGCGATCTTTATTTTCCCTTTGCTTATTTTTAAAAAAAATTTTAATCTTTCCATATTTCATGAATCTCTCTAGACTACCTTTAATCCCTTTTGCTCAAAAGAAAGTAAAAAGACACAAAACAGTGGATTGAATGACATACCCTTGGTATTTTAGGCAATATGGATGAATGGACATTTTTGATTGCACCTGTCAGGGTTATGAAATTTTTTCAGCTACTCTTCTATTCATTAATCCAGGATTTCATATCATTTGGAAATGCTCACTCAGTCTGCATATGTTACTGAGGGAGTGGGATAAAATACAACTGTCAATTTCAAATTGTGTGTGTAATGAAAGGGGTTAGCCTGGGTTTGCCCTGGCTGCTTTCTTCAGGTATCTGAGATAACTTATTGAACATGGAAGAGTTATTAGATACTGCAATCTTAAATTCTTCTGCCGTGTTACCCACTTAGTACAGCTGTGGGAGGAATGAGAAGAGAGACGGCAACGGAATGGCTGCAAAGAAACAACTTGGTTTCGAGAATTTTGACTGTAGAGTCTGTATTCCGAAACTCCAGAAGGTGCCTTCCATTTTATGCAATAGAGTAATCCTCAGATGGAATTTGACCAGTGGCTTATGAGCTCGGGTGCTGGGTTGGAGAACTCTTCCTATGGGGAGTCAGAAAACCCAGCTAAACTACTGGGGTGAAGAGAATCTTGGGAAGTCCAGGTTTGCTGCAAATAGGTCTATTCCAAAGAATAAGGAGCTCTGGTGGCGTTGTCAGATACGTGTTGGATTGCGCACCACAAGATCAGTGATTCAAGCCCAGCAGCTGGGCCAGGGGAGAAAGATGAGGCTTTCTACTCCTGTAAGGAGTTACAGTCTTGGAAATCCACGGGGGCACGTTTACTCTGACCTATAGAGTCCTGATGAATCAGAATCAACTCATTGGTAGTGAGTTTGGGGTTTTCTTTGGTCGATTCCTGTAAAGATTTGTAGTCTTGGAAACCAATGTATGTGTGTTTGCTTTTACTTGAAGTTCAGCGGAATGACGTATGGCGGCCCTGGGGGGCAGTGATGGGCTTTGTGCCCGTAAACTTGCCCTGCAGATTTTCACCTGTGGTCCCAAATTTTCAGGCCTCAATTCACGAGTGATTGAAGAGTCCCAATATATCTTTCTATTTTCTTTATATAGGGATATTTTAGGAAAACATTTTTACTGAACCTCACATAAACATGAATTGTGGAATAGTGCGTCCTGCAGTATTTCAAACCCCATTCTCATCTGTTGCCACGAAAGCTCTGTTGCTGGTGAGTAAGTGCCTCAGCTCTTTCGAATTGCAGGGACTTTCCACCTTTAAGTTTCTAAGTAGTATCTACACTGTGCCTGCAGCAACATTGCAGAGCCACTGTCACACAATTACCCAAAGGAAGATCGCTCGTGAGTGTCACTCCATGTAGTTACGCACTGACATAGACTGCACACCCAATAAGCTCAGACAGTCTGTAGACATGTTGTAAAATTAAGTGGTGAAGTCAAAGACCAAAGAGACTTTTATGATCTTCGTGCTGTGGATTAAAAACTAACACACACACACACACTGAGATGTTTATTTTCTTCTGTCTTTTAGGAGGAGACGAGCTATCATATGAAAGAGAAGGAAAAAATTTGATGACACAAGTCAAGGATTTGACATCCAGAATGACGCAGTAAGTGTATCATTATTTGATTTGTTCCTGCCCCTGGCTCAGACAGAAAGTGGTTATGCATGTCTGTCCATGTCTGTCTGTCTGCACCTGGACCTCTGTGTGATGGATTCAGACGGAAGCCTTAAACCCCTTTCCCTAAATCACTGGCCCACAGAGACAACAGACGAGAGCACATTCACCTGGCCTGGACACGATCGTTAATTTTGGCCATCTATTCTGTTTCCCATGCTTCGTTCCTTCCTGTCCTCCATTCAGCACTCCCATTCATAAGAAATGCTGACTTGCTGTACAAGAAAAGTGAAGATCGGAGCCTTGTTTAACATTGTAGAGAAACCCCCCCCCCACATAAACCAGTAGTTTGAGATTGAAGTGAAATTCTTTTTGTTGCTTTTCTTAAAACACAGATACATAATTTTTAATTTAATTCTTAGCGTGTAGAGCAGATTATGTGCACATTAACAAGCGCATGCAGATATAGCTGATTCAGTTCCCTGAGATTTGGTGAGTTAGCTTAAAAAATATTAGGTTATTGGAACTAAACATTTGCTTAATAATTGAATAGCAGTGTCTGTGGGCTATTAAGAGATTTGATTCAAAGTTAGGTTGAGTGCTGAGGGTGAGAATGAGGGTAGGGATGATTATCTAGGGATTTGGTCTCTGTTTGTAATTTAAATAAATCATTTTGACAGAGACTGACTGTAACCATGTTCAGGTGCTGACGGTGTGAAATTGAGTTGTATGGTGGACAGAAGACAAGCAGTCAAGAGAAATCCCCAAAGGCGAAATTTGTTATGTAATTGGGTCAACTCATGCATGAGAAATACATGCTAATTGTAAACTGGTGGAAAAATTATAGCGTATGAGGCAATTAGGTCTTAGATTAACCCGAATAACTGACACAGGACGTTCCTTGCTTTTTTTTATATCTCGAAAACATGAAAAAATTGTGTGTGTGTATGTGTGTGTGTGTGTTTGCTTAAAGTAAGAAAGGTAACATTTAGAAAGGCATTCAGTATGGAAATATATTATGTGGGAAGCATCAAGGATTTGTAACTAGTGGAAATTGGACACGAAGCTTCTTAGTGTGAGTTGTCGAGTCCAGCACACCAGGGAGCTTGAACGGAGAGTAAGGTTGTGTTTGTGTGATAACTTAGCATTGGATTCATTAACACTGTGACCGGTTAGGGTGCCAGTGGGTTAGCCCATAGACTTAGGGGTAGTGTTTTCACAGAGTGAGTCTATTTGGCTGTAGGGGATTGTACCTTATCTCTAACTCATCCCAATCAGTAACTTCTATACCATTCTCGGGTCAGTTGTGGGATTATCTTTTAAGGGAAAATCAGTTATATCAAGGAAAACGATGGGGCAAGAACACATATTTTTTCTTATACTACCTAACACATGTAGGAATGGTTCATTCCTTTCAAAACATTGTGGTCTACCTCGTCTAATTAGATGCTGAAAACTCCTCCTTAGGGAAAGTGCTTCTTTGAGGAATACTTACACTTTCATGGGGAAAATGTACGGAAAATTACCTCTTGGGCCCTTTCTTGTTTCCAAATCCATGGTTTCTCTTACACCTGGTTTTGCTTTATTTTTCCATCTCATGTAGAACTTCAAAGGTCTATCTCTTCTTTTTATGCTACGTTTTTCAGCCACAGTCAACGTAGAGACACACACTCATCCCAGACCAGTAATTGCTTGTGCAAGTACCAGAATTGTGGTCACACACAAAATGGCATTGCTTAAAGGAGAGGTTTGGGAAAGGACCCATCCTAAAGGAATTCACACGTATGACACAGAGACTGAGAGGCTAACAAATAATTTCTGGAGGTTTTTTTTGTGGGACCCATTGCTCCCTTCCTTTCTTTTCTGAGTCTGTGTCCAGTGTTCAGGCATTTGCCCATCCTGCATATTGCAGGGGCCTCCTAATGGGCCTATCTCCTTCCAAGCTCTTTCTGCTTCTTCTTTCATTGTATCTTAAGCATTGTCTGCCAGACGAGCCATTCTAAAATATCTCTTTCATCAAGGCCCTAATTATGACCCTACTTTTAAAAAAAGCAAAGCAAGCTATCCTTGAGTCTCCCCTTTGAGTAGGATAAAGTCTAATCTCCTAAACCCCTTAATCCTGACTTTAAGGACCCTCCACAGTTTGCTCCTGAATTACGTTTTTCACGTTATCTTTCACTACTTTTCAGCCATCTCTTTTAGCCTGGAGGACTTAACTCAGCGCTGGGCTTTGGCATGAGTTAACCCTCTTGTTCGGAACAATCTCAGCTGTCAGTCACAACACCCCCGTTCCTAGAAACGCACTCAGACATTGGCTACAAGCGACTTCCTAATCTCTAAATGGTTGTCACCTATTTTACGATGGCCTGTTCCATTCATTTCACACATCCTGGGCTCCCTTTGGGTTTTAATTAGTCATGTGTCTTACCTCCTGTGTTAGTCTGGGTACTCTAGAGATACAAATCCACAGAAACTCAGATGTATGAGAGAGAGTTTTATATAAAGGGTAAGTGCACATCAAGAAAACATCCCAACCCAGTGCTGCCCAAGCCCACAAATCCAACATTAACTCATATATCCGACACCAATCCACAAAGTCCTCCTCCATCTCACAAAACACACGCAATGATGCCGACTGCAGGAGGAAAGCCGAATCAATGAATGTGTAAGCATCTCAGCGCTGGCAGGGGTCTCCACACGGCTGCTCCAGCACCCAGGGCTACATCGGGGTAGGTCCATGTGGCTTCCCCTTGAGGATGTCTTGCAGGAAGTGAGCCTTTCCAGCTGAAGCAGGGAACTGGCTAAGGCAGCTGCACCCTGGTCCGACCATCACAAAGCAAGAGACCCGAGACGAGGCTCACTGAGACATTTATCTCCCTACTCTTCAATTAAGCCCACATGTGTGTATCAGCCAGGTTGGCACAATAAACTGTAACTCACCTCCACAATATCATCATGGCCATTTCCAATTTGGTTTTCGCGTGTCTGAGGTTATAGACCATGGTGCTTTACACTTTACCTTTCTTGTCACTTCCTTAACTTAGAGTTCTTTATTTTGGAGCCTGAGTGTGTGGTGGTGAAAGCACTCAAGTGCTAACTAAAAGAGTTGTGGCTTGGACCCACCAGTGACTCTTCAGGACACAGCTGTGGCAGTCTGCTTCTGTCAAGATGTAGACTAGGAAGCCCCGTGGCGTAGTGTAGTAGCTGTGCTTTGCCCCTTGAGGTCACTGGGAATCTGAATAGTTCTTCAGCAACAGTTTGTTTATTTTCCCTCTTCTTCTTTCCTCCTTCTGCCTCTTCCTTCATCTCTTCCTCTTCCCCTGCGACACCCCCCCTCCCCCCCAATGCTTGAAGGAGCCTGAGGATGCAGTGGTTAAGTGCTAACAAGGCAAACAAAAGTTCTGTGGTTTGACCCCATCAACAGTTCCGGAGGAGATAGGACAGATGTGGGCACCTGCTTCAGTAAAGATTATAGATGTGGGGACCCTATGAGGCAGTTCTACTCTGTCCTGTAGGGTCACTGTGAGCCAGAATCAACTTGCTAGCAATGGGTTTAGACTGCTTGAAGCGCTTTGGTAGTACAGTGGTTAAGTGATTGGCTGCTCGCTGAAAGGTCTATGATTCGAACCTACCCACGCTTCTGTGGAAGAAAGATGTGGCAGCCTGCGTCCGTAAAGGTGACAGCCTGGGAAACCCAATGGGACAGTTCTACTCGCTCATATACGGTCTGTTTATGAGCCGGCACTGACTTGACAGCCCAGAGTTTATCTTGCTTGGAGTGTCTGGGTGGTGCAAATGGTTGGTTAACACACTTGACTGCTAACTGAAAGGTGGGAGTCCCTCCAGGGGCTCTCCAACAGGAAGGCCTGGCAATGAAATTACTTGGGAGAAAGGAACCCTTGGAGACCCTGCCGAGCGTGGTTCAGCTCTGGCACACAAGTGGTAGCCATTGTTGGAGTTGAGTTAAAGGTGTCTGGTTACTAGCATCCTCGCTCGCTCGGGTTATGGGCACAGTCTGTGACTATTCTTTGCCAAAGTATTGCCTCTTCTGTCAGAAATGAAATACAAAGCCCTTGGCATTGAATGTCCTGATTTACTGCCAGTTAAGGTCTTTCCCTGGCTGCCCCTGTTACACCTTGACCTAGTCACTGGAAACATATACCTGGGCAGCCATTTGAACTCTCTCACTGTCTAACTCAGCTCAGTGGTTACCATCTCCTCCCAGACCTGACTCTTTCCCTTGCCACTCTGGAGGTCTGGCATGGATGACTGCTTTAGGTATTTCCTTCCAATACCGCCCCCTGGGGGTGCTGGAATGATCCTGAGGGGCTGCAAAAGCAGATATTAATTAACACTTTTGTCAAGGGTGCGAGTAACTTTTTTTTCTGAAAAGGGGGCGGTAGGCCAAATAAGCTTGGGAATGTATGGTAGACTGGACCCTTTTTTTGGGTATATTTTATGATTTTCAGTTTTGTTCCATATGTTTCTTTTTTTTTTTTTTAATTGTTTTATTAGGGGCTCATACGACTCTTATCACAATCCATACATACATCAATTGTGTAAAACACATTTGTACCTTCATTGCCCAATAAGGTAGACTGGACTCTATGAAGATAGGGGCTGCCTTTTCCCATATAGCCTGCAGGGCCTTGCCTGGGACCAAATTTGATAAGCAAGTGAATTGCCTCTTTGTGTCAACAAATCTTTTTACCATGACCTGTCACTCTCCCAAGGAGCTCTGGCAGCACAACGGTTAAGTGCTTGGCTATGAACTGAAAGGTTGATGGTTCAAACACACCCAGGAGTTCCTTGGGAGAAAGACCTGGCTTGCTGTGTTGGCTAAGGTGACAGCCAGGAAAACCCATGGGGCAGATAGCCTCTGCCATGAGGACTTAGTATGAGTCAGAGTTGTCTTAGCAGCACCCGGCAACAATAACAATTCACTCTGCCAAATGGTGCCACCTCTGAGATGGTTTATCAAGGCCTATGCC